GGGGGCGCCTGCCATAAACCGGTCCTGCCGTGCCTAACGCCAGGCAGCTGGCGGAAACGCTCCTCTGCTGCGTGCGTCTCTCCAGCCCCTTCCTCTCTCCGGGAGAGCAAACGCCCCAGGGTTGCTTCGATCCAAGGGAGGACTCGCCCTCAGCCGGACTTGGCTCCTCAGGATCCACCCTGAGAGCGTCAAACTGGCAAAGATGTGGCTTGACGCTCCGTCGAGAACCAGCCCAGGAGGCCCTTGCCTCCAGCACCGGGAAGGAGGGAGGCAGAAGCAGCCCAAGTCTCTGTCGTGACGCTGCGTTTTCCAAAGACGCTCAGAAAAACAAGCGTTGCTATTTGAACTCCCTGGCTTGCTTCCTCTCTGAACAGCGGGTTTGATTACCGATAACTGGCAGTCTAGCTGCACAAAAGTTGGGTGGGTTTTGGGGTTTTTTTTTTTCCCTACTGTTTATTTTTGATAAATCTATTGTGGACATGAACGCAAGGCACTTTCTGAGGTGACGTTGCTTATTGATTGCTGGGTTCCAGGCTGAGCCCGAATCTGCTACACCACGTGCAGAAACGACAGGGGCTTATTCTTCCCAGCAGCTGTGATGAGCCCGGGTTTCTTGCGCATTTGCTCGAGGGACGACATGGTTCTGGTGTACGTGTGCTGGCAACGGAAAACAAAAAAGGATCATTAACGTGAGCTCAGTTTTCAGAGCAGAATTCTCCCCTGTAAAAGCTTTTTTCCTGAAAAAAAAAAAAAAAAAAAAACCCCACACCTTCCCAAGGGGTGCTGGAAAAAGCTGCCCAAATAAGCCCCATCACACCAGTATCGCTCTACCGGTGGCAGATCCCAACAGGCTCAAAGGGAGGCACAGGAAGCCCTGGGAAGTTCTCCCGAGCACCGAAGAGCTGGTTTTGAGGTGTTTTCCTTAAAAATGCTTACTGATGGGGTTGTGCAGCCCTGTTACTCTCATAAACACCCGATCTTTTTGAAGTCCTGCTAAGCTCAGGGCCTCGGTGGTATCTTATGGTGAGCCCTTGTCAGGAAGGAACTAGAAGTGAGAAGTGCTGAGACTGGTTTTTAGCAGAAGACCGGCACGGGATGGGGCCTTTACATCAGCCAGAGACAAAGAGCGTTTCAAAGAGCTTAGTTGTGCTACAGAACCAAACCAGCATCTTTCAAAAGGCTACGGCCAAAACAGCATCCGTTCCAGCAGAGTCCTGCACCCCACCTGGCAGCGAGGCGCAGAATCGCTCTCCCAGCGCCCGGCGGCAGGGGTACGTGGAACTGGGCCCAGCTGAGGTTACCTTTTGATCAGTCTTCATTTTCGCCTTGTAGAACGAGACTGAAGCTGGGCAGGCTGGCAGCGTTGTCTCCTGCATCCTCTCAAACCTCTCCTGCTCGTCTTCCTCCTGCCAGCAGAAAGACAGACCCCACTCCATGTGAAAAACAGATGTCTGGAGACACAGGGGTCAACCGATCCCATTTGCCGCACCGAACGCTGATTCAACAATCTCTCCCAAGCCTCGGGAGTGAGAGGTCCCCCCTTCCCACGCCTTAGGTGAGCAGATCTGGGCAGGACTTTGGGCAAAATCCATCTGCAAGTGAAAAGCCCCGAAGGGAGCTCCCTCAGCTTTCTTCCCATGGCCATGCTCTGCCCGTAAGTACCCGCAGGATAGTCTCCCACTGCAAGATAACGTCGCAGCTTGAAGGAGGTCTGAGCTTCAGCGCGGTCTCCCCTGAGCCCAGCTAGCTGACGTCCGTGCCCATGCTTCTCCGGGGAACCGTCTGGAAGGCATGAGTGCGCTGAAGAGGAACACGGGTTGAACGGAATTACGATTTTTTTAAGATACCGGCTTGCGTATAATGTTTTCATGCCAGATTTGAGGATAGCTCTAGCAGATTCTTGGGTCACCTCCTGTGGTGGTTCATGAGTAGCCTGGAGAAGGTGACAGTGAAATTCTGGTGTGATAAAAAGGCAAGTGGCCAAACCGAATCAAGCCAAGAGTAAAAGATGCACACCCTGGAGAAATGGGTTAGAACAGTAAGTGAAGAGCCAGTCCGGAAAAGGAAAATGGTTCTAAGTAGGAAACAGATTTATCCAGAGAAAAACGAGGTGGTTCCCTCCCAGACCCAGTATGGGCCTCAGCAGGGCCAGTGACGCTGACTGGGAAGCTGCAGCGAACCACCCGGTAGAAGGAACAAGAGAAGAAACCAGCGCTGAGCAACGTTACCGGGGACACTGTTGTTTATCCTCCGCCTGAAGATTTCTGCCTGTAACATCAACAACTCGACACAGCTGCAAAGTATTGCTAAAAGGCACGCTTCATTCATCTTTGGGTTATAATTGATGTGATGACAAGAAAGCCAGGGCTGGAAACCGTTAAGGGAGTTTCTATGAATACATTGAGTAACTTGGGTTAGTAAAAGTGACTAGTGATGGATTTCCTCTTTTCCCCAAAGAGTGACATCCTGGACCCGTGCAGTCAGTCAGGGTTTTCCTGTTGACCTCATTAGGCTTTATCCAAGGGGGGTTGGGTTGGGTTGGGTTTTTTCTCTTTCCTGTACAGGTCTGTATCCGTATCTGAAATCTTCCACAGTCTGGTAGATCGCAACATTCTGTTTAAAAGTAAACTCACTACATGTTTTTTTATCTCACATCATGCTTGTTATTCATACCCTCAAGGGAACTAATTCAGTAGGATGGAAAGAAGCTGTCTCTGATCAGCTTTAAAACCCTGCACATGCCTTTCCAGAAGGGAGTAAAGAAAATGCTTCGCTGAGATTTACAGTCAAAATAATCAGACACCTGGAGACAAAAGAGCTCCTTTTCTGTTTTCCTTCTAAGGAGCTAAAGCCATCCTGTCCCCCACTACACGTTGGCTAGAAATGGGGCTGTGCATTTAGGAAAGGGGTCACACAGCTCACGCCCTGCTTACTCTCTTTCCCAAACACCTGTGGGTGCCCCCGGCTCCTGATGGGGACGGGCTTCTGGGAGAGACGGACCTAGGGCCTGTCCCCACAAGCTGTTCTCTGCGATCTGCAGAGGTTAAGCAGCAATACTGGAGATGCGTTACACCTACAAAGAAAGGGCCGAATCCCCCTTGCAGCCAGGGTGGGATCTCCCTCCTTGCCATGCATCACTTCATCACGTCGGAGGGAGCGGAAGCACCGCCACCACGTTCCTATCAAACGGCGTGAAGGTTCTGAGTCTGACATTGAACAGTGAAGGACAAAACCTGGAATGACTTCAGGGGAGAATAACGCAAAGAAGAAGTCTGGTAAATGAGAAGCTTAAGAGAAATGTGCTTCGTCAGGAATGACAAAAGACCCCGGCTCCCCCAGAGTGGTGGTTTCTAAACAGAGGGCCGGCTGAATACCAGTTGCCACAACACGAAACACGGTAGTTTAGCTGTAAACATTACGGATCATACAGACTAGATACAAGCCTCCCGTCTACCCCTCGCACCGCCGGGCAGTTTGCCCGATAGTACTGACAGTCAGCAGATGACTGGGTGCTTCAATCACTCCGTCCTATTTTAGCCTCTTAATGGTAAAGCTAATGTGAAAGCAAGATGGATCTCCAGATAGTTGCTCTCTGCATCATAGCAGATAGCATTTCAATGCCAGCCACTCTGCTCCGAGAAAGGGGCAGAGCTGCCATGCCATCCTCCTCCCACGGGCTTAGTTGTGCCCTCGTTACCATGCCACGTGTGGCTATCAAGGAGAATAAGCAGAGCTGCCAGGACAACTCACCAGGCACATGACTCTGTTCATGGGAATCATTCCAGGTCTGATGTTGCCGCCGGGCTTCAGGGCTTCCTGCACACCCTTGGGGATAAGGAAGGACTCGCTGTACCAGATCT